ATGTCAAGTAGCTGGCTTAACTTTTCTTGACTTGAATAGGAACAAATGAGTGAGTCTGGATTTTAGGATTTTACTGGCTTAAAAAATAGACTTGTATTTATTTTCCTCAGCTTTGGTCGACGAAATACGAAATCCATCTTCAACTAGAGGAGAAATTAGATCTCACGTAGCCATGAGTGCGCAAAATATGATGAAATTGCAGTTGTTATGTAAATATTTTGTAGCCTAAATCTTCTATAAATTTACTCGTGATGTAGCTTATTTATATATATGTTATGTTGGCCTAAGGTCATTTATGACGAAATCCATCTTTTGTCTTTTGTTTTTTATTTTTTGTTTTAATTTTTACTTTATTTTAAAAATATGTTTGTTTAGTATATTTTTTATATATTTTTATATTTTATTTAAAAATATAAATTAACTTAGTTTTTAAAAATACTCAAAACATCTAAAAGTTATTTTGAGTGTTCTTAAAAATAACTATATATGTAAATACATACCAAATATATTTTATTTCAAGTAAAAATATAAATAAAATAAAATAAAAAATTAAAATCAAGAGCGAACCTGAACGGCCCCAAAATTCTCAAAGATAATTAAATACTCTACCAAAACAACCCATAGGCACTTCTAGTTGTAAGAAAATATAGTGCATGTAATTTCTTATAATTAACAAGTGCTTACATTAATAAATATCACTTTTCCTTAAGTTGATACATGATCTATTGTATGCTTTCTCTATGCCATCCAAATGTTTATTGGTTTCAATTTTGAGTCCCCAATCTCATTGTTTCTGCCCCATACATGCCATCCAATTCTTATGTATTTTCTTATGTATTTACTTATGTATTTACATATCCAACACCTAAACTTTGCTTTTTTACATTTATACCAACCAAATTATTCATATCACATAAAGGAAACCACCATTGTAACATTCAAAATGTGCAATGCACCTTTTCATGCATATAGATATAGATAAACTGGTATATATCTAAAAATTGAACTTTGGGTGTTAAATATGTAAATTCATAAGAAGAGTCGAGTAAGATGCTTCTAAATCTTTCTAATTATTATTATGATTTTCTTTTCAAACTAAAATAAAGTTTTGCAAGTCTTGTCCTGCTCATGAAAGCTACTGGATTTCAGGTATAGTGTATTTTACTATCAGATGGTGGAACCCAGACACCTTTGCTGCCATGCACCCAGCGGGCACAACTGCTAGAGTTTCATGGCCTTATGTGGAGGATAACAAGTCCTACCTCTGGATTTGGCTATTCCTTGTTCCTCTGGTTGCTTACACTCTCTGGCAACTGCTTTATTTTCTCATCGTCAACGTCCTCCGCCGCCAACGACTCCTGCAAGACCCCGAAGTCATGACTTCTTACAGGCCTGTCTTTATATCCATTTGTCCTCTTTTTCGCCCTTTTTCATTACGTTGAAGTAATAAAATTCAAATTCTACACATATATGGCATTTACATACACACCACTCAATTTCTATGTATTTACATGGCTTAACGTGTAAACTTTGTTTTTTACACTAATATAGCCATACTCTTTTGTATCACATAAAAAATACCAGTATTTTAACTTGAAGTGAGATGCATCTTTTCATGCATAGGTAAAGTAATATATATATAAAAATTGAAGTTTAGGTGGTACGTAGTTACATAAGAATTGAGTTGGTATGTATGTAAATCTTTCTTATTTGGGGCATTTACATACGTACCACTCAATTTTGATGTATTTACATGTCTAACACCTAAAATTTGATTATTTACGTCAAGACCACCCAATTCTTTCTTGTCACATAAAAAATACTACTATTTTAACTTTTTAAAAGTGAAATACATCTTTTTCTACATAAGTAAAGTGTTATATATGTAAAAATTGAAGTTTAGATGTTAAGTATCTAATTAGATAAGAATTATTAAATGGTATGTATGTAAATCTTCTTTATTTCAGGCATTTATATACACACCACTTTGTATTTACATATGTATAACCCAACCTTGGATTTCTTAATTAATACCACCTAAATCTTACATATCGCATAAAAAATATCACTATTTTAACTTTTAAAAAGTGAAATACATCTTTCAATGCACCAATAAAGTGGAGTGTGTGTTATTTGTTGTTTAGTTGTTAGATTTGTAATTACATAAGAATTAAGTGGTGTGTATGTAACTTCCTCATTGAGGGCATTTAAATAAGTATCACTTAATTTCTATGTATTTACATATCGAACTCCTAAACATTCTTTTTACATATATATCCACCAAATATTTCATATCACATAAAAAATATCACTCTTATAACTTTCAGCAAGTGATGCATGGGTGAACTGGCATATTTGTAATTAACTTGAAGTTTAATTGTTAGCAATATAATTACATAAAACTCAAGTGGTATGAATGTAAATGTCGCAGGGAGCTGTCCAAGAAGGCACAGAAGGCGGACAACATCTGGTGGCGGCTGAGCGGAATGCTCGGCGACAGCAACCGTCCGATCATGTATATCATGCTCCAAGCCGTCTTCACCGTTGCGACGATGGCTCTAACCGTCCCCATCTTCCTCTCCTATCAAATGCACGTAATCTTCCAGGTGTTGAAGGTCACCGCCCTCGTCTGGAACGGCGGGAACTTCCTCATCGATGTCATGCCAAGACAGGTCATTCTCAAGGAGAAGAAGAAGCAGGAAATGAAACCCATTCGTGAGATTCCACCCTCAGCTGCTTCTTCAGTTCCAAACAACAATGAGGTAACCAACTCGAACAAAATTTCCTGATTACTATTTACAAATGTATTCTTACCTGCACCTGCATGTTTTTTAGAAATGGTGAATATTATTTTCTACTGCATTGAATTAAATTTAGTGGTTTTATAGTTGTGTTTACCGATTTCATCAGCTTTCATGGCTTATTATGATGATATTTAGAGCAGTTGAAGATTTTAAAACTTGACCCAGGGTCTTTTTTTGTTGTATATGTGTAAATCTGTTTAAAATATTGCTATATAGTCAGCACAATGATTGTCATGGGAAGTGTAATTGAACATTTTTCAGTACATCTAATAATTTATTGGTAAAATAAATGTGCTTATAAAATAATTAAATTGTGATTTTAAATTTACTTATTATTATTATTATTAGTATTATTATTATGAGAAATGGATTTAGCCCATAAATGCTGATATGAATTGTTGAATACAGACATAGGATTATGTACAATTATTAAATTAATATCAAAACATTTAAATAATGTTTAGCAATAGATTAGGGGTGAGTGAGTTAAGTAGGCTCGAGCTTGGCTAGTTAAAGAGCTCACGAGTTGAGCTTATCAAGTCATGAGCGACTCGTTGGCTTGCTAGCTGCCTTGATTAGCGAATTGTTAGACACTTATATGTGTTTTTAAGGAAGCTGCTGCTGTATCCTTCTTTTCCTCTATCATCAACACCTTTTCTGTCGAGCTCCCACAAAACAATTGATTTTTTCGTTCGAGTACCAGTAGAGCTCGAGCTCATAACTTGGCAGAGAGCTCGAGTTTGTCATGACTCGAGCTCGGGCTCGAGCTTGACCCAACTCAGTTACACTATATCAAAATCTAGTTAAAGTTTCAGAGTTCTTCAAAAGGCAATTTTTTTTATATTTTTACTTGGTTTGATAAAGAAATGTATTGTTGCAATTGTATTTAGAGACATTTAAATTGCTTCAATAAAAAATGTTGACGCTAATTTAATTAATTTTCTAAACTTTATGAGATTGGAAAAATTAAAATGAACCTAAAATCTAGCTTGTTTGTGCATTTTTTTATAATTTAGTTTATAGGCTCACATTTAGGGTTCCAACCTTTAATGGACACTGTTCTGAATATTCAAATTGAGATGGCCTCCTAATACTCTCAAGGGAGGTTTTAGGTGTGTATGAAGGGGTGTAACTGACCAAAGCCAACGTATGAGTTGGCCTAGGGTGCGTTTGCGGCAGTCGCTGTTTGTTGAACACACAACCTGTATGGAATTATCTCTTTAATTATAATTTATTGTTAGAAAACAGCTGATGAAGAAGCAGTGTGTTAGGATAATTTGTTTTGATGTAGGGTTCATTTTGGGTGGCGGCGCGTTAACGTACCTCAGTTTTTTTCTGTTAGACAAAATTATATTCCTTTTTGCGTTCTCGAAAAGTTACAACTGAAAGTTACGTTTTCCCAGCGCACAAGGCTATTTGCAGCGACCACTGAATTCTTTGAATAACAGCTTCATTTTTAGTAGATTCATAGTTGCTTTTTTAAACAGTTGTAGCTACCCCAAATAGAGCCGTAGTTTTTAAGAGAAAGACTGTAATACTCTTGATGTATATATATTATTGTAAGTCCGTGGTTTAAAAAATAATTCAAATATAACAAGAGATAAATTTTAGCAGTTAAAAAAAGAATTAGAACTTCATTATGACACTATAGAAAGTGTACATTAAGAAATTAAGAGCTCAAATTCAATATAAACGGAACACACATGAAAAGAGCCCTATTAACTCACAATGCTTACATCACATTTTCATGTTGAAGAGTAAAAAAAAGAGGAAAAGGATTCCCACATTGATGCCCCTAATGCACATTGAAGGATAGCTCCAAAACCGCAACCTTAAACACATTGTAATTCACATTTATGCATACCAAAGAATAAAAAAATCAGAGAAGAAACATATAAGTTATTATCAAAATGTAGCACAACAGAAATCAATCCCATTTCACATGAGAAGGATTTTGAGATTTGCATGAACCCTAGCCAAGCACACAAGAACGAGAAGATATAAGAAGGAAGAACACACTCAAGTGAGATGAGGGAAGACGTGAAAGTCAAAGGACGCCTATAATGAAGAACGATCGGAAAAGAGAAGATATAAGAAGCAGTATCAAACAAAAGACTTGAGGGCATAGCGGGAAAATATGGGGGTAGAGGGAGAATGTAGATGGAAAATGAAAGTAAAATCATGGAATAAAAAAGGAAAAGAATGGTCGTGGAGCACTAAAAACAAGGGGCACTAACACGGAGAAATCTAGGCCAACTCCACACTAAACGGGAAAGCGGGGCTATAGGAAAACACACCGCAGTGACGTCGTTGCCCCAAACAGACCCTTAGAGGGGCTAATAAGCTATGTTGAGTTTGATGAGCTTATAAGGGTCTGTTTGAGGCAGCTACAACTTATCCAACTTATCCAGATAAGCAGATAAGCAACTTATCCTAATAAGTTGCTGATCTGCAGCTTATCTATCTTGATAAGCTGACTAGCTGTTTAGTTTATGCGTTTGAAAAATAGTTGATTTGCAGTTGTCTCTAGATAAATGACAATTCTGCCCGTGATCTGGATTTTGTTTAGCTGTTTAGTTTGTGCGTTTGGAAAACAGCTGATTTGCAGTTATTTTTGGATAAATGACCATTTTGGCACTGTGCTGTTGTGTTGTTCACAATAGAACTATAATAACGATACATTTGATAGTTTAGAACAAAAAAAAATCACTTCATAACAGTTCACATCTACCACTATAAACACCTCTCACAGCCACCACACATAAGCACAACTCACATCCACCACCAACCCATACCGAAGACCACCATAACACACACCCAAGCCATTACAACCAATTAAGCACCTCACAACCATCACGCACAAGCATAGCTCACATCCACCACCAACCCACACAGAACAAATGCTCCAGAACAAACACACCTCACAGTATCCCTCCACAGACAAGCAAATCTCTATAATAATGCTCCAGTACAAATCAAATTCTCTGGAAACTATAAACAAATCAAAAACCCAATTTTGTAGGAAGAAGCAAAAATCACATGGAGAAAGCGAACTTACCACTGGAATAACTACAACACACTGTAGAAGGGAGGAAGAGGAAGGAGAAAGCAACAAGAGATTATTGAGGGCGGATGAGAGAGATCGAGGTAGGTGAGCGCGAGGGAGATCCTTCGTAGGTCTCGGGTCAAGGGCAGTGGGGTAAAACGTGAGAACTCAACGCGCCGTTGGGTCAATCCCGCGACACCGTTTATTAAACAATCGAAACCCCCGTTGAGACAAAAGCCGTGTGAACATGTTAACCAAACGGGACGGTGTCGTTTTAAAAACACCACCCACAATTTTAATCTGCCCCAAACGGGCGGTAAGTCAAGTTTAAACTAGGCTCGACTCGTCTCCTTTGTTCGTGAGCTATCTCATTTAAACAAATATTGATATATAATATGCTAAATTCAAGATTTTTGTTTATAAAATTACTAAAATTTTTTAAAAATCCACACTTTATATATTTTATCATGTTATTTCTCGTAAGCATTCATTATTTTTGTATCTGGTTATATAGTTAACATGAATATATATATATATATATATAT